GGAAGGATTAGGTCAACTGAAAAATCCAATGATCTCATCGGGAATCGAACCCGCGACCTTCCGGCTTGTAGCACAGTGCCTCAACCAAATACGCTACCGCGAGCCCCTTAAAATGTTTAACATTCGGTTTATTTAATCTCCATATCACTACATGTTTCGATCTGTAAAGATTATCATGAAGAGTTTTATGAACACATGTCGTTACTGAATTAGCAAAATAGATCCGTTTTTTACATCTTCCCATTAATGTTATAATCTAAATTTCAATTTGAAGTTTGTAGTATGTTATGTCACGAATCATACTTGTTATAATATGCTAAAAGTTCAAATCTAGTAGTTTAAATAAATTAGAGAAAAATAGAATTTCAGTCTTTAAAATACCCTTTATCATGATACATAACAGGAAGCTGAAAATAAAGTTTACCTCAAAGATTTGATATGCAGCAGACATGTTTTTCTGAACACACGTGTGTTCTACGGAAGTTACGAAGGCATGTATACATAAAAGGTAAAAAAAAAAAGGTTGTCCTTGTGCTTAACCAATTAAGCACAACGCCATGAAGACGAAGGGGGGAGTGATGTATAGATCCACACACTGTTGACCTCGGCGCTAGTTGGAGGTGAGTGGTCGGCTTCACGCCCCAGCCGCTTTACCCCCGGGGAAAATGCCACCGGTACCCATTGGATAGGAGGCTGGGTGGGCCCCAGATCCGGTCAGGACGACGTGGAGAAGAGAAAAATCTTGCCCCTACCGGAGTCAAGTCCGATCCCTCGGAAGGTATGTTTACATGCTATCAAGAAACGGAGTTTTTCACACAATAAATATAAATCTGTGTGTAAACTGCAAGGCAGCTTACAATTCTCTTGAATATCTGCCATCACACAGAGTTAAATGAAAATAAATTGTTGTACTTGGGTTGATTTTATAGTTGCATTTTGACCACAATAATGGCAGGAAATTAAAAAGTAAAACTGTAGAATGGACTTCACTGGCATGATGTTTATACCAGTTATAATGAAAGGAAATTTATTAGTTTGAAATTAGTGGTTAAGGACAAGGACAGAACTGTGAGCATGCGCGCGCTTACACGTGCGCATACAAGCATGAGCATCTCATAAAACACGAAGTCCTCGTACTTGATAAAGGATAAGTTCTGAAAAACAGTCATAAACTGCTAAGAGAATACAGAAGCATATGAAATTCACACTAAAAGATACAGAACAAATATCACCGAACTTTAGTTAATTTAATGACGCTGTCAACTGCTTAAATTATTATATAGCGTCGAAAGAGAAACGAATGATCATTATAAAGTGTGCGAGGTATCAGTTGGGTGCGTGTATTTTACAGTAGGATACTATCTAGAATTTGTCTAAAGGGATCTAGAAAACACACCAAACCTGTCGGAATAGCCGTCATCTTGACCGAGTTTCCGAATACAAAGCAAAATAGATAATACTGAGAACATAAATTATTTTTTAACAATTTTCCTAATACATATTTATCCATTTCCTCTATTACTTTCACAATATTTATCTAGTCCTCATCAACAATTTGACTAGTTGGGGGTGTATGCATACACGTTTGTAATTATGACTGATTTATGGGCCTATTTTAGTACTTGGCTGTTTTAATGTTGCTTATATTTATCACCGATAAAAAATGTCGTTCGTGTCAATCTGTGAATTAAAATATGCTGGTGTAAGTAGAATATAAATACTTATTTATTTATGCTTCATTTAACGTCACTGCCATCATTTCAGACTACACAGCTCCGAATGTTGAGGTGATAAGTGAATAATGGATTGGACATAATGTAAAGGAAGCGGCCTTGGCCTGATGATGTACAATATCTCGGCACGTGCCTGAGGGCCTGACGAATTGTTTTACAGAACTGAACTAATGCCACTGAGAAATGTATCCATAATATCTATTAATCATTCAGAAATTAAATCTGTTCTGAATACGTATACTATAAGCTAGCTTCGTGAACATCTACTCTCAACATATAACAAATGGTTCACTTTTCAAAATCAGGCGTCGTCATTGATGCTTTGTTTTTAATAAACGTCTTTCTCTCTCTCTCTCTGTTCCCTGTTGCTCTCACTTTGGAGTACAGGGCATCCGTGAAACGTTTTGTTTCACTTCAGTATCTTAATTCTAGGAAAGTCGGTAAGACTTCTTGGACGGGGATCAGCCCGTCGCTAGGCAGCTACCTACACAAACACAAAATAAACGCAGACAAACGTCCAAGCTTTGAGTGGAATTCGAACCCACGATCCCAGCGTTCGAGCGAGCTTTAGACCATGAGGCCACTGTGATTCGCTAATAAAGTCTTTTTTTTTTCCTTGGCACTACAGCCCCAGTGGGCATAGGCCTACCTCCATGAACTTCTCCGTTCACTTCGGTTTTTCTAGATCTTACACATACGGTAGGACTCCTTATGCGAGTGATCAGCTCGTCGCAAGGCCTCTACCTGTAGACAAACACAGAAAAACGCACACAAACATCCATGCCCTCAGTAGGATTCGAACCCACGATCCCGGTTTCCAAGCGAGCGAAGACAGTGTATGCCTTAGACCGCTCGGCTACCGTGACCGGCAATAAAGTCTTTAGTATTGCTAAATGCTAACTTCTCCTCGAACAGTTGGCATTCATGTTCCTATTCGGAAGATACGTAATTTTAATAGGTTCAGTTGCTCCTGCATCCACTGCCCTTCGGCTAGATATGTTTCTGCTGCAAATGCAGTCAGTAAATCTACATATATTCTTATAAATTGGCGTTTAAAAATACAAATCTTAAATGATCGATCTTCCTTGTTTTTGTTCCCTTGTTTTGTCCTGTGTTGTCTGTATTCGTGCTGACTCTGAAACTGGCCACCGCCTGATGAGCTCAGTACGTAAAGAATTAAACTGAATTATTATTAATCCTTAGGCTTTCGAGACTGGAGGTAAAAGTGTGGCTTCGGCTTTCAGGACTATGCCATGTCTAATACTGAGTGTTACCCGTTTCGGCAAACCTTGCAGTTGCTAATGACTTTGGAACTCAGGACCCAGGGTGCAATGCGGCCGGTTCCTCGACGACTAGTGTTGTCCTGGTGCTGAGCTCGAACTCACGACCAGACTGTGACGTACAGTACACGCATGAGGTTCTGTTCCATTTTGGTTAATGAAAAGGGGAATCAAAAATTCCCTGGCAGGACCATCTTGTTGTCAGAACATTTTTAATCATCTCTTTTCGTTAACGACATGATCACTAAAACATTTTTCATTGGCTCGATCCATTAAACACACGGTGGTTCCCGACTGGCTAGCATCCCGCTTCTCTTTTCTCCAATCATGGCTCTACCTCTGACACAGTCTAATGCAAGAGCTCTATCAGAGGTGCCAAAACATATCCCACCGTCATTAACCCTGAAGATGGTAAGTGCAAGGTTTGCCGAAGCTTTAAAAAACCTTGAATACTCGAAGCATCTTAGTCCCAGACGCCGAAGCCAAATATATTGTTACAGTTATTATAATTATATAATAACTTAGATTTATGTTAATGAAATTATTATTATTGTTTGTTTACTTGTCTGCATTAATGTGTTTTTCCTCCAGTGCTTGCCTATAATTTGTCTTTCATTTTATGTTGTGATTGTCCATAATGTAATCATTTGTATCTATACTGTGCTGTCTGTAACTGGCCTTGCGGCTGTTGACTCGGCACATAAATATTTTTTTTTCCTTGGCACTACAGCACCAGTGGGAATAGGCCTACCTCCATGAACTTATCCGTTCACTTCGGTTTTTCTAGATCTTACACATACGGTAGTACTCCTTGGGCGAGTGATCAGCTCGTCGCAAGGCCTCTACCTGTAGACAAACACAGAAAAACGCACACAAACATCCATGCCCTCAGTAGGATTCGAACCCACGATCCCGGTTTCCAAGC